ATAAAGACACATTCTTTTTAAGCTGCAGTTATTACAACATTGTATGCTATTATTTTATATACATATAAATTGTTTAAAGCAGACGACACCGGGATCTAACAGCTTTAAATTGCAGTGGGTTATGTACTACAACCATCATGTGCCTGTTACCTTGTCTATTTCTTAAATACAGGAGGGTATAACAGTTTTTTCTTAATCTTTAAGTAATATTTTTTTGTATTCAGAATTCATGAATGAACATCTCAATTGTTTTTTTTTCTTTCTTTATTGAACATGCAAATCAATAGACAACCCATAGCATTCAAAAAGTATCCAAAAAGAAACCCACACATATGTATATGCATATATATATATATATATATATATATATATATATATATATATATATATATATATATATGTGTGTGTGTGTGTGTGTGTGTGTGTGTGTGTGTAGAACATGTTCAATGGGAAGGGAACGAAGCTTTGGTAGCTTATATAATCCCCCCCAAATCAAATTTCAAGAAGGATAAAGCAAAAAATATATATATTTTCCCTACACTGTCATTGCCATTTTCCTATAACATGTTTTATCCTCAATCACACAAACAAAATTTACATTTTCTTATGTGTCCCCCCCCCCTCCCATGTTCACAGCTTCCAGTTCACCAACAATAGACAATTACAATCAAATGCTACACCCTCACAACTTTTCCTCCTCCTCCATGTAATTAATTGGTATAATTTTTTATACTTCTTTTTAAACTTATGCAATGAGGGACTTTGCTTTAGATCCTCACTTAGCTTATTCCAAACTCTTACACCCGTAACAGAAATACAAAATGACTTCAATGTTGTTCTAAAATATGTATGCCTAAAATGAAGTTTGTATCTGAAATTATATAGGTTATCTGGTTTTATAAATAGCATTAATAATTTGCTTGGTAATAATTCCCTATGCACTTTAAACATGAATGCCGCTGTATATAGTTGAAGTAAATCTTTAAATTTTAGTATTTTAGAATATGTAAATAACAGATTAGTGTGTTCTCTAAATCTAACATTGTGAACGGCTCTCAGGGCTCTTTTCTGTATGATAGACAAGGGCGCAATAGATGTTTTATAAGGGTTACCCCATACCTCTACACAGTAAATAAGATAGGGATAAATCAATGAATAATAAAGGACATGGAGTGATTTATATTCCAAGTACTGCCGAGCTTTATTCATAATGTAGATGATTCTCGCAACCTTATTATATACATGTTTCATTTGTGGTTTCCAACTTAATTTATTATCAATTACTATTCCAAGGAACTTATGTTCTGTTACTTGCTCAATTTCACATCCATCTATTTGCAGCTTAACCTCAGTTTTATCAGCCATACCAAACAACATACATTTTGTTTTTGCTATAATTAATGTAAGCTTAATTTCAATAAACCACTCTTTAATGACGCACATTTCAATTTGGACCATCCTTTCTAAGTCGATAATATTATCTCCTGCACAGAAAATAGTGGTATCATCAGCAAACAAAACAAATGTCAGTGTATTTGTTACATTACTCAAATCATTAATATATAATAAAAATAATTTTGGACCCAACACAGACCCCTGTGGTACTCCACAAACAATGTCCAACCATGAAGATGAACATTCTCCAAATTTCACAAACTGTCTCCTCTGTTGTAGATAGCTTGTCAACCTGCTCAACACTACACCTCTAATCCCATACCTCTCTACCTTTTCAAGTAACATTTTATGATTAACTGTATCAAAAGCCTTTTTTAAATCAATAAATATCCCTAGAACATGTTTCTTCTGATCAATTGACGTGGTGTTTGGTTAAGGTCCAAGTTTAAAAAACAAAGGAGATTTGAAAATGAAAATCAAAAGAAGAGGTGACTAAAGGCCGAGTACGGACTTGATCAACGATAGTTGAGCAGAGTTACAAGACTAATATTAAGGTTGAAAAAGAACTAAATAGTACATTTGGAAGTACTGTTGTTAAATAAATCCCTCGAGCCTTGTGTGGATGCCCGCATCTCTTTAAATTTGTCTTTTGGCTAAATCTTTGTCCACACAGCTCACACGCAAAGGCTTCTCTCCTGTGTGGACTCTCATGCGTCTGTTTAAACTTGCCTTTTGAGTACATCTGTATCCACAGAGCTCACGTGCACAAGGCTTCTCTCCTGTGTGGACTCTCACGTGTGCATTTAAACTTGTCTTTTGGGTACATCTGTATCCACAGAGCTCACAGGCAAAAGGTTTCTCTCCTGTGTGGACTCTCATGTGTGTGTTGGGTACATCTGTATCCACAGAGCTCACAGGCAAAAGGCTTCTCTCCTGTGTGGACTCTGTTGACTTTATTTAAATCTGGTCTTATCTGTAACCTCACAGTCCCCTCTTCAACTCCACTAACTTTTGAGCTAAGCGCCTTTGAACTGGGTCAATCGCCTCCCATGATGTGCGCACTTATTTACCGTCCTCCACAATATAATAAGGACATTTTAGATGAATTTGCGACGTTTCTAGCTCAAATCTTCTGTAAATATGACCGTCTCCTCCTGTTGGGGGATTTTAATATTCATGTCTGTTGTCCCGACAGACCTATGGTGAAGGACTTTTTGGATCTTGTCGATTTGTTTGGCCTGTCCCAACTCGTGAATGGGCCCACGCGTGGCCATGTTCACACACTGGACCTGGTTCTGTCTCATGGGCTGAGTAACAGTGACTTGGTTATTCTCCCTGCTACTTTCTCTGATCATTCACCAGTTCTGTTTAACCTGGACGTGGCTTCCACTTCTCGTACTGACCATGTCCACACTCGTCTCTCTCGAGTTATTACCCCCTCTACTGCTGGAGATTTTATAAATGTTTTTGCTCTGATATCAGCCCCCTGTGATTTTACTGTTGTTGATAGTTATTTGCATCTTCTTAATTCATCCTGTCTAGCTGCTATGGATTCTGTAGCTCCATTAAAATCCAGACTGACCAAGATTAAGCCTGACCCTTGGCTGAACGAGTGCACTCGTTCAATTAGGCAAAACTGCAGAAGACTGGAGCGTCAATGGAGTAAAGATGGGCTTATGGTCTCCTTTGAAGCCATGAGAGAAGCGTGGTCGCAGTATCAAAAAGCTGTTAGAGGCGCTAGAAATCGTTTCTTTGCTGGGATTGTTTCTGCTAATTCTAATAATCAAGCTGTTTTGTATAAAACCATGAACGCTATGCTCTCACCTGTTAAAACACTATTTTCCCCTGTTTCTGCTGGCTTGTGCAACCAAATCCTTCAGTTATTTTAGATAAGGTTGATAAAATCAGAGCTCAGATTGGCTCAGAGGTATTTCCGTTGATTGGGCAATATGTGCTGGATATTATTAATGGTAGCTTGACCTTGGCTGTGGTTCCTCGTGACTTTAAACACGCTGTTGTGCAGCCAATTCTGAAAAAACCTGGTCTGGATCCTGCCAAATTCTATAATCTCCGTCCAATCTCTAAATTACCATTTTTATCTAAAGTACTTGAGAAAGTAGTGTACGAACAGTTACTTATACATCTTAATGACCATCAGGTAATGGACATGTTTCAGTCTGGGTTCAGAAACAGCACGGCACTGAAACTGCTCTTGTTCGGGTGTTTAATGACATCTTTCTGGCATTAGATTCGGGGTTCCATGTGGTTATGGTGCTTCTGGATCTATCTGCAGCCTTCTATACGGTTGATCACAACATCTTGATCTCTACACTACGGACTTGGGCTGGCATCTCAGGTTCGGCCCTGGACTGGTTTAGGTCTTACTTCCATGACAGGTCCCTTAGGGTCATGCTGGATGATTATTCATCCGAAACACTCTCCCTTCCCTGGGGGGTTCCTCAAGGTTCCATCCTCGGCCCGTTACTGTTCTGTATTTATATTCTGCCCTTGGGAGCTGTTTTCAAACAGCATGCAGTGTCTTACCATCTATATGCAGATGATTGTCAAATTTATTTTTCAATGAAACTCAAAGACTCCACTAAACTTCTGTTCAATTGTCTTCACAAAGTCAAGCAATGGTTGGCTGACAACTTCCTACATCTGAACGACTCCAAAACAGAGTTAATCGTTTTTAGTCCAACTAGTGTTAGAGCAGCCCAGCAACTAGACTTCAACTATCTGTCACCTAATGTCACTTCTGTTGTTTCCAACCTTGGAATAAGAATAGATTCTGCTCTGAAGATGGATGCTCAGGTCAATAGCACGGTCAGGTCCTGCTTTTACCATCTTAGACGTATTTCAAAATTAAAGTCCATCCTGAGTGTCCGTCTTCTAAAATCTGTGATTCATGCATTCATCACTTCTCGGTTGGATTATTAAAACTCCTGTTTGTACGGTATCAGTGAGGCGGCTTTGTCTAGGCTTCAGCTTGTTCAGAATTCTGCAGCAAGGTTCTTGACTGGAGCTGAAAGAAGACACCACATCTCACCTATTCTTAAAACGCTTCACTGGTTGCCCGTTAAATTCAGGATCAATTATAAAATTTTACTTCTCACGTTCAAATCCTTGAACGGTCAAGCGCCTCCCTATCTGTGTGATCTCCTTCATTACTACCACCCTCCTTGTGCTCTTAGGTCTGAAGATCAACTCCTCTTAACTGTCCCTAAGGCACGTTTGAAGACTCGTGGGGAAAGGGCTTTTTCAGTCTGTGCCCCAAAGTTATGGAACTCATTACCACTGCAGGTTAGGCAAGCTTCCTCTATCGCCGTCTTTAAATCTCGTCTGAAGACCCTCTACTTCACTTGCGCATTCGATCCTTAATTCCATAACTCCTTAGCTCATCCATTGTCCCACCTAGTAAATTCAATTTTAATTTTGTGTTTTTATATTCTGGTTTTATTTGCTTTTACTGTTAATAGTCTGTTGTTTATATTTCTTTTGCTCCTTTTTACATTTTCCATCTACCTATTTTAACTTGTGTTTTCTTGCTTGTTTTTTGTGCAGCGCTTTGTATGGTTGTAATGCCGTGTTGAAAGCGTTATATAAATAAAATGGTATGGTATGGTATGGTTAAATTTGCCTTTTGGGTACATCTGTATCTCGAGAGCTCACAGGTAAAATGCTTCTCTCCTGTGTGGACTCTCATGTGTGTGTTTAAACTTGCCTTATGGGTATATCTGTATCCACAGAGCTAACAGGCAAAAGGCTTCTCTCCTGTGTGAACTCTCATGTGTTTGGTTAAATTTGCCTTTTGGGTACATCTGTATCCACAGAGCTCACAGGCAAAAGGCTTCTCTCCTGTGTGGACTTTCATGTGTGTGTTTAAACTTGCCTTATGGGTATATCTGTATCCACAGAGCTCACAGGCAAAAGGCTTCTCTACTGTGTGAACTCTCATGTGTGCGTTTAAACTTGCCTTATGGGTATATCTGTATTCACAAAGCTCACAGGCAAAAGGCTTCTCTCCTGTGTGGACTCTCATGTGTCTGGTTAAACTTGCCTTTTGGGTACATCTGTATCCACAGAGCTCACAGGCAAAAGGCTTCTCTCCTGTGTGGACTCTCATGTGTTTGGTTAAACTTGCCTTTTCGGTACATCTGTATCCACAGAGCTCACAGGCAAAAGGCTTCTCTCCTGTGTGGACTCTCATGTGTTTGGTTAAACTTGCCTTTTGGGTACATCTGAATCCACAGAGCTCACATACAAAAGGCTTCTCTCCTGTGTGGACTCTCATGTGTTTGGTTAAACTTGCCTTTTGGGTACATCTGAATCCACAGAGCTCACATACATAAGGCTTCTCTCCTGTGTGGACTCTCATGTGTTTGGTTAAACTTGCCTTTTGGGTACATCTGTATCCACAGAGCTCACAGGCAAAAGGCTTCTCTCCTGTGTGGACTTTTATGTGATCATTTAAATGTGACTTTTGGGTACATCTGAATCCACAGAGCTCACAGACAAAAGGCTTCTCATCTGTGTGGACACTCATGTGTGTGTTTAAACTTGCCTTATGGATACATCTGTATCCACAGAGCTCACAGGCAAAAGGCTTATCTCCTGTGTGGACTCTCATGTGTGTGTTTAAACTTGCCTTTTGGGTACATCTGTATCCACAGAGCTCACAGGCAAAAGGCTTCTCTCCTGTGTGGACTCTCATGTGTGCGTTTAAATTTCCCTTATGGATACATCTGTATTCACAGAGCTCACAGGCAAAAGGCTTCTCTCCTGTGTGGACTCTCATGTGTTTGGTTAAACTTGCCTTTTGGGTACATCTGAATCCACAGAGCTCACAGACAAAAGGCTTCTCTCCTGTGTGGACTCTCATGTGTCTGTTTAAACTTGCCTTATGGGTACATCTGTATCCAAAGAGATCACAGGCAAAAGGCTTCTCTCCTGTGTGGACTTTCATGTGTGTGTTTAAACTTGCCTTATGGATACATCTGTATTCACAGAGCTCACAGGCAAAAGGCTTCTCTCCTGTGTGGCCTCTCATGTGTTTGGTTAAATATGCCTTTTGTGTACATCTGTATCCACAGAGCTCACAGGCAAAAGGCTTCTCTCCTGTGTGGACTTTCACGTGATCATTTAAATTTGACTTTCGGGTACATCTGTATCCACAAAGCTCACAGGCAAAAGACTTCTGCCCAGTGTGGACTCTCATATGATGGGTTAAATTGGACTTTAGGCTAAATCTTTTACCACAGTCATCACAACTAAATGATTTCGGTTGTTTCTGGACTTTTCTACATGAGCCTCCATGTTGCTTCTCTTTCACACATTTTGTATTAACCAAACACTCTGAAGACTTTACTGCTGAATGACTTGTCACTCTCACATGTTCCTGAAGAGACCACTTGTGGAGGAACCGTATACCACACACAGGGCAGCTAAATGATTTGTTGACGGTCTTAATATCTGACTCCGAAGACTTGTTCTCATTACAGCCATGATCTCCGTTTCCAGTTTCAGGCCCTGAGTCTGAACGCTCAGAGTCTAGATTCACATCATCTTCATCTTCTCCACTAACTTCAATCTCTGAAGAATCGGATGTCTTTTCATTAGGGTCCAGATCTAGGTTCTTGATAGTTTCTGCTCCTCCACCAACATTTGCTGTCATCTGCCCAGCCAAGCTGCTGGTTGGGACACCTCCGTCTTTCATTTGATGGTTGTGGAAATGTAAGAGCAGAGGTTTCTTATCCGTCTCTTCTCTCTTCCTTGAAACTGCAGCGAACCAAGCAGAAATATATAAAAGAAAAATATTCAGTAAAAAGAGAAGACAAAATACCTAGGCGTGTTTTTGCAATCAGTAATATACATAACCAATGTTGGTAAACACATTACTATTCCTGTTAATGCGTTACTTTAACAAAAAACTATGAATCTAATGAGTTGCTTTTAAGTCCAGACATCACTATGCGATTGGTAGAAGGAAAGAAACGCTATCTGCAAATTCTGATTAGCGTGTCTCAGAGCCGGTCAAATCAGCCGTCCGTCGCTGCTACTGTGGAGCCTAGAGATACCCTGACAGCAGCATTGCGTCAGCCCCTCCCTTCCTTTCCCTAACACTGTAGACGTGCAGGGGCAAAAATGTAAACAAACATATCTGCTGAACCATTACTCCGTGAGAGTGCTGTAAAGTTTGTATACTACTGTAGTGGGATGAGTCACCTCCCACCAAGTAATTGGACGACCTATCATTGAGGGAAGGCGCTAATATAAATAGGGCCTGAGGTGGCGCTACAGCGATCTTTTACTTTGGCTTAACTTCCGCTTCCTGTGTGAAGAGCCGTTGTGTACGGGACTCCGGCGTGTCGGACTGAATTGTTGTATGTGGTCCTCCCAGAGTAACGGAAGGCTTCTTTTATCCTATGTGCTTCAAAGAAGTGATCCAGGAAGGGGTGTGTCTTCACAGGAGACTCTGTTGTTCTGTTGCTTTTCTGCACGGTTGCATGGGATCTCTGTTTACCGGTTGTTGACCCGGTACTGGACCATCATCCGGCTCCAAGACCTCTCCACCCCGCTGCTCGGACTGGTTGACGGGATCAGCGGAGACCATCGGGAGCGGCTTTTGTCACTCGCGCCTCTGTACTGAATACCAGCGGAGGGCGTACACCCGCTGTGGGGTTGGGTATTCTAACGAGGGGCTGCGGACCATACCGGCAGTTGTCGTCGGCCCGGGAGCTCATAAGGACGGCTGAGGCGCAGGCTAATAGGCTCGTGTGCAGGCGAGCTGTATGCTCGCTCATTTTCTGACGGCCTGCCTGCTCAGTCGTGGCTGTGTTTTAGTGTGTGTGTGTGTATGTGTGTGTGGATTTGGATTTTTACTGTGTTTTCTGTTTTCTTTTCATTTAGGCTGTGAGCTGACAGTGGTGGTCGAGCCCTGGTGGTGGTCCCTCTGATGGTGTACGTGTGCTCCAGAGTCACTTCACCCCCCGAATGCATGCACGTGTGATTGGGGTGAAATTACTTGTGGTTGGTATTTAGTTCCGGGCTCTCTTAGGCAGCCCCATTTGTCAGCCTCAGCCTAAGTTGATTTGGTTTTAAGCAGTGTTGGTCTGCAGGTGCATGGTGTGTTTTAGATTATTTTAAACTCATTTTATTCTTTTAATAAAATCCCTGTTTGTGTGGAATGGAACTCCGTCTCAAGCTTGATTTGTAAAAATGAACTAATGTGCCTTTAGTTTCAGTCATTTTGGTTCCTGATAATCAGGTGGAGTTGTTTCTAAATTGATAAGTGGCCCCGCTCGCCACACTTGGCGTTGTTGGCAGGATTTTTGCTCTAAAGCTGAGACGTGGGTTCCATTGCTTTTAAGTGTTTTTATTTTAGTGTTATTTTTTTTTTATTTCTCAGTATTTGGTTCATGGGTAGCAGGTTGGAGTAAGCAGAACGGCAGAGTCTCTTGTGTAAGTGAGGAAATAACTATTCCTTACTGGTGAGTGCCCTGAGTTTTTTTTGTGTTTGTCCCACCCCTAAGTTCAGTGTCTACAATGGATGTAGATTTTCAGGAGTTGCAGGACTTAGTCCAACAACTTAAGTTAGAAAATGAGAGGTTGAGGCAAGAGCGGGATGTGGCTGCCCCTGGTCCCAGCTCTTCCCTTACCCCTCCTGCGGTTTCACCCCTTGATCCCCCAAGCACTTCTTCTGCAGTAGAGAAGTTGGTGTTTATTCCCCGGGAGCGTAAATGCCCCGTTTTTACTGGAAAAGGGGGCATTAGTCAAGCTGAGTGGCTTGAGGAGGTGCAGGCTTGTATGAGAGTACGTCATGTTTCTGGTACTGGTGAAGCATTTTTTTTGTTTGATCACCTGGGAGGGGAAGCCCGTAATGAAATAAAATTCCGGCCTAAGGCTGAAAGGAAGGATCTAGCTAGAGTGATTGCTGTGCTGCAGGAACTTTATGGGTGCTCAGACTCCTATGTGGCTTTGCAGGAGGCGTTCTTTTCACGCCGCCAACAGGAAGAGGAGACATTACAGGAATTTTCCCTAGCTTTAATGGCCCTCATGGCTGCAGTAAAGCAGCAGGCCCCCAGCGAAATGGTAAATGCTGAGGTGTTGCTACGAGACCAGTTCGTAGAATATGTGGTAGATGGGTCCTTGCGCCGTGCATTGAAGCAGTTCGTGCGTGGGAGGCCGTCGGCGACACTATTAGACGTCCGAGCAGAGGCCATTCGGTGGGAGCGGGAAGGGATATCGGGAGGGCCTCGAGGCCGTGCCCACTCCATGCCCTCAGTGTTAGGTCTCCAGTATGGTGTGCAGTGTTCCCCCGCTGCAGGTGGCCCTGGTTTCTTCCCAGCTACTGAGTTGAGTGAGATAAAGGAGATGCTAAAACTCCAACAAGATCAAATAAATAAACTTGATCAAAATGTTTCTTCTCTGCAGGGTACACGAAAAAAACCTCGCCCCACTAATCACGGCCCCATAATATATCGACGGTGTCAGCAAGCAGGGCATTATGCCAGTGACTGCGATGGGGTTAGAGTCTCACGTCCCCAGCCCACCCAGCCGCCACGTCCTACTGCAAGGCAATCGGAAAACTAGAGCCCGCCGAACAGCCGAGCCACAGTTCGGGGGGTATAGTTAGTGGCTCACAAGTGGTTGCTGCTAGTCAGGGAGAAGCCTCGAAGTTGGTGTCAGATTGCCCCCATGTGGAGGTACTAATGGGAGGCGTAAATGTACCATGTTTGTTTGATACCGGTTCTATGGTATCTACGGTCACCGAGGGCTTTTTCCGGCAGCATTTTGAGCCTTGGGGGATGGACCAACTGCAGTCTTGTAACTGGTTGCAGCTCAAGGCAGCCAATGGGTTGGCTATCCCTTATATTGGCTACCTGGAGATTACTGTAGAGTTATGTGGTAGATCACTAACAAATTGTGGTGTGTTGGTGGTCAAAGACCCCCCGAGTGGTACCTCTGGTTTTCCTGGCATTGTGGGGATGAATATCATCCGCAAGTGTTACAGCGAATGTTTTGGCCAGCATGGGCTGGCTTTGTTTGAGCAACCCCCTTTGTCAGGGCCCCCTGAGCCTGTTGTCCAGGCATTGCAGAGGTGTCACCAGGGTAAGGGAGACATTCCTCAATAAACCTCGGGACTAGTTAAGGTGCTGGGCCGACGGGCATGTCGTATCCCAGGAGGCACGCTGAAATTCGTGGCCACCTCATGCTCGGAACAGTTCGCCGGTTTACCTGTGTTGTTTGAGCCCCTAGTGTCTGGCCTCCCTGCCGGGTTACTCACCTCTCCATCTTTGGTGCAAGCACAGAAAGGTACAGCTTATGTCCCGATCATTAACGTTGGCAACACAGATGTTTGGCTGTACCCGCGCACTAAGGTTGGAACCCTGACGAGGGTTTTGGTGACTAGTCCGCCAGCTGGCTTAATGGAGATACCATCTGGGTCAGCCGTTGTCTCATCTCAGGCAGTCTCGGAGTCAGTAGTGACTCAGCTGCAGGCTCTGGAGCTACCTGCTTTGACAGCAGAGGATGGGAACAGTGTGAGGTCTCTGCTGTTAAAATATGCTTCTGTTTTTTCAGAACATGATGGAGACCTGGGGTGCACAAAGCTGATCTCCCATGACATTCCACTCATGGACGAGGCACCTGTCCGGCAGCGCTTTAGGCGCATTCCACCGTCAGACTATGAGATGGTCAGGGAGCATATTAACAACCTGCTGGAGGCCCAGGTAATCCGGGAGAGCAGCAGTCCATATGCTTCCCCCATAGTGCTGGTACGGAAGAAGGATGGGAGCCTGCACATGTGTGTGGACTACAGGCACCTAAACAGCAAAACCAGAAAGGATGCCTTCCCCCTCCCTCGTATCGAGGAGTTGCTCAATGCGTTGAGTGGTGCTCGCTGGTTTTCCACTTTAGATCTAGCCAGTGGCTACAACCAGGTACCTGTTACTGAAACAGATAAGCCCAAAACAGCTTTTTGTACCCCTTTTGGGTTGTTCGAATGGAACCGCATGCCGTTTGGTCTTTGTAACGCCCCTAGCACCTTCCAACGGCTAATGCAAAGACTCTTTGGGGACCAACAGTGCCAGTCCTTATTGTTATATTTGGATGACATTGTTGTTTACTCTTCCACCATCAAGCAACATCTGGACAGGCTGGAGATGGTGCTGGAGCGGCTGCAAAGAGAGGGGCTTAACGCGAAGCTGCCCAAGTGCGCTTTCTTTTGACAGGAGGTACAGTACTTAGGGCATGTGATTTCGGACAAGGGTGTTGCTACAGATCCTTCCAAGGTTGAAGTGGTGGCAAACTGGCCTATCCCTGTGACGGTGTCAGATCTGCGGTCATTCCTAGGATTTGCCAGCTATTACCGGCGGCTCGTGGAGGGGTTCGCCAAGTTGGCTGCCCCCCTTCACAGGCTGGTTGCGGAGCTGGGGAGTGCAAAGTCTGGCCGGAGGCAAGGGCAGAAGATTGGCGAGTGCTGGACCAGGTTGTGTAACGACAGCTTTGACGCTTTAAAGGGTCGATTGGTTACTGCACCGGTGCTAGCCTATGCTGACTTCTCTCTCCCTTTTATTTTGGAGGTGGACGCTAGTTATGGGGGTCTAGGCGCAGTACTATCTCAGGAGAAGCAAGGGCAGGTGAGGCCTGTAGCCTACGCTAGCAGAGGGTTGCGGCCCCCTGAGCGCAACATGGCCAACTATAGCTCTATGAAGTTGGAGTTCTTGGCGCTCAAGTGGGCAATGACTGAAAAGTTTAGGGAGTATTTGCTGGGCCAT